GGCTCCCATGACTGTGCTCGGTGGCCTTGAGAGGAACTCCCATGCCACAGCTGCCGCTGTCGGGACAATCATCTCTTTGAACACAGACTAGAGAAAAGGCCTTTGTCCTGGCCTCAGAAGAAAGGCTGGGCAGCCGAGGGGCACCCTTCTCACAGGCTCTCCCTCCACCCTGGGCTGAGCCTCGGCAGCTAGACCTGGTCCCGCCCAGCCAAGGAGCAGCAGCAGCCAACACCCCAGGCTCTGAGAGTCCTACTGGCTGGTGCGCTGGGGGCCCCTTCCTGCTCTGCCACCTCCCTGAGCCTTAGGACCCCAGGGCAGGGTGTCCAGGTGAGCATCCACAGGGCCCAAAGCAGGCAGGGCCCAGGGGGACACCCCATGTCCTCATGGCCCACCTGGCGGGGGAGAATAGGAAAGGGGGGCCAGCTGCTCCAAGCTAACTGACGTACAGCTAGGTAACAGGTCCGACCCGTGAGAGAAGGGCCAGATGCTTGTGCTCACTTGGCTGCGATGCACCCTCCAATCTCAGGAGGTACGGGTCGGGGTGAGGGGCTCTGAGACTCAGGGCCAGGAGGACGCTGACTGAGGAGGTTCCCTCAGGGCCAAAAGTGACATCCACAGACTAGACCCCAAAACCTCCTCCTCCAGGCCCAGCTGGATTTCTCCTCTCAGACCACTCAGGGAGGGCAGCAAGGAAGCAGGAATTTCACAAGGATGTCATACGACACGCATTCCATCCTCAAGGTGCCCAAGAGCATCACCACAGAACTCAGCTCAGGGCTTGAGGACACCGCTGACAAGCGGGGCCACCAGCACCTCGACTTGGCGTCCAAATGTTACAGCTATTTACTGCCAGTCCTGCTGCTGCTAAGGGAAAACAGTGGAAGAGTCAAACCCCAAAGGGCCCTTTCTCTGCACAGCCACCCCCCTAACTTTCTCCCGTGGAGCTGTCCCTGCTGGGGGCCAAGGACGGGCTCCCACAGGGGAGATGGGGGCCAACCCACTCACTCCCTCCCACCCAGGCTGCCTTACCCCGGGGTGAGAAACACCAAGTTGACTTCTAGGGAGCTAACAGTAGGGTTAAGCAAAGGATGCTTACAAAGTACATGATTATGCTAAGAAATCCAAGTCGTTAAATAAAAAGCAACCCAACAGGAGAGCAGCACCAGGCAGTGGCCAACTTTAGAGGCATCCAAGGCACCTGGGAGGCAGTGGGGGAGAAAAACCCCCACAAGATGTCCATCCACAGCAGCGGTGCCGCTCCCTGTTACCTGGGCAACAAACTCCAGGTTGCCTAGTGATCGCCTCCTCCGCTGTTCCCTTTGGTGGAGCCCACCCCTTGACCTCCTTCAGGCTGGGCACCAGAATGCAGCCAAGGCTCAGCTGGCAGGCCCCCAGCTTCCCGGCTGGGGCCCCAGGGGCTGCACTCTGAAGACCTCCACGGCTGGGCCCACGTGCTGAGTGGAGTCGCTGGGCAGTGCTGGGAGCGGGTGAGCCGGATATGTGTCCAGCATGAGACACAGGACTCCGGGGAGCCACCACGAGACCCCCAGCACCAAGGATGAGAGGAGGCTTACTAGGCTCTGCCAGGGTTTGCTTCCCAAAAGAAAGGGGCCACCTGCAGAAGTCCTCCCAGCAGGAACGCGTACATGTGCACAGAGGGGAAGTCAGGGTTAATTCATGCCACCAAGCCTGGCACCTGCAACCCCGTGTCACTGGTTGTCTGGGGAGGAGGTTCCCAGTGTGCGCGGTGGGAGCCTGCAGACCCCAGCAAACAGATCCTCCACCTGGACAACCTTTGTTGTTGCTGCTAGGTGCTGCTGAGTCAGTTCCAACTCATAGTGATCTTATATACAACAGAATGAAACACTGCCCGGTCCTGCGCCATCCTCAC